CAAATAACCCATCGGAGAGAAAACAGACCATAATGGCCATTCAAAAACGCACAAACACGAAATTGCCAGAACTTTTTGGTCACCCTGTACAGCCATTCGTAGGGCAACCGTTTTATCGGAGGAAATAGTAAGTTCCCATTTTCTAGCCCAAACGGATATGGCATCAAGAGCATGTTGTAGCAGTGTAGCTTCCCCAAAGCAATAAACCTTGACATCATCCGCTGTGAACACATGACCAGTCAAACTTGTCAGCACCTGTCAAGCAGGCTGTAAACTCCTGTCAAACTTGTCCAGATGAATTGTGAAGATTTGGAAAAAATCGAGAAATGGTGTTCCCATGACGGTGGTACTATTTCGTGAAGCTTGGCGGGCGGGAGCTGACATGGTATTTGACAGGACTTTGCAGAGCTGGCAGAGTAAGACGTGATTGTGAGAAGGCAACAGAAAAACAGAGACGAATAGCTACACGGGAAAACCTCACACGTCCTCCCCACCCTACCAGCATAAGGTTGTTGACGACAAATTTCCGCTGGAAGGAAACTGAAACCATTCACTGGTGACAGGTTAGCTAGGAGAATGCTGCTATTGGTATGGTGGTTACTTCCAAAGCTTCAAATTAGCTCATCACAGGGCGAAGGTCAATACCAACAAAACTTGATGAATGTCGAAATTTTTATACATTTCAATATATTCAAAATATCGAATCTGTGCTGGTTTCTGGACATCATTTGTGTACAATCAGCTCCTTCATTTCTCTTTGCCCTCGCCTGAAACGTCAATCTAAGAATCCTGAACCTGAGCCCTATTAAAGGCACATTCAGAAATAGCACCGTGAACAACAGGTAAAAAATAAGAGGTGAAGATATACCTCGATGAATTTGGCATGACCACCTGTTTGAACGACGGCAGCAAATCATCAAGTGAGGCCATTTCTGATCGAGTGAATATTCTCTCCAAAATGAACATACGTATCATGACCATGAAAACCAACTGAAATATTATTATTATCAATAGTATTATTATTCCGCTAAATTGGCTTTAGTGATTAGCCCTCTGTAGCGCTTGTGTAGAGGCAACGGAGCTCACTTGCTGCCAATTCAAGCTGACCCGTACTACTATCGAATCCTGTTTTGTCACACCAGTATACTGCCCTGCTATGCCCACTACATATTGCTAGATAAACAATTCTCTGTAGAACTCACCATTAATGGGAATATCATTGATATAGTTTTTATGTGCTTAACCAGAAACAGTGCTCCGATCGATAACAGTTGAATAATCGTGAAAAGATGGACTCGACGCATTCTGACTGAGCGTAACCACGAATAAGTCTGGCTAAATACCGTATGGTTTTATGATGGCAAGTGCGGGAATTGTATAATACATCTATTAAAAAGGAACTTAAAGGCACGATCCGCGATCAGGTATCAAAGTCGAAAATATGGCGTCAGGAGTTTAGAGTGGTCCGCGAAGAACAACCTTGTACCGGTTTTGCGGCCGATTATAGAGCAATATAGATCCACTGGGTTTCTCCTTTTTCAGTGACCCGCCATCCAGCCCCCGCCTCTAGTCCCCCGGCTTTCACAAAAACGCAAAATTGCCAGGACAAACAAAAGTAAGAAAAATTGTCCCTTGTACGATCCGCTAAGACGTACTCTATCTCGGTGAATCAGCTGTGCATATGAGAGCGCAGTGTGGGAGATAGAGTTAATTGGCACGTACAAACTGGGATCAAAATGGGGTTCTATCTAGGGCAGGTGGCATGTTTTTTGTGCTTTTTTCTTCACTGTCGAGTTACTATTAACCCCTTCGTCGCCCTATATGAAGCCCCCTGATTCCACTATACTGGGGATGTGCGAAACAATTGCGGTCCTGGCCATTGAAAGGATTATTGATGTGCAGGTGGGGAGCCCAAAAAAAGACACTTTTCTCTCCTTGACTTTCGAGGCGCTATAAGTTACACTTTATTAAATTCTGATCGGACATTTCTACTCCGCCACAGCCTTCTGGACGAGCGCCATCGAGAGATTCTGCCACGCGACCGTGATTCGGTACCTGAGTTCAGCGAGATCGTTGATTTCTCCGCCACTGTAGACCACCCTATTGAACTCCGCCCGAACCAGGTAATTGAGGGGGTTTAGGTCAGGTGACCTGCTTAGATATTCCATCTTCTTCAGGTACTCACCCCTTCCATTCCAAGTAGGCGAGAGTTTTTCCAACGCCCTTCGATTCCATGTGGTGGTCACCCAATCCTGTAGCAGTACAAAGTTTCCAAGAACGGGCGACGACATGTGGGGAGGATATTCTTCTCGAGTTGCTCGATGTAACCGCCAGCGCTCACCTTCAGTCCGGGGTCCACGAAGAAAATATCGGTCTTTCCATTCCAGGTACGTCCGTCCGGTCCATACCATCAACCCGCGCCTTGGCGACTGCGGTGAAGATGATGTCCTAGACCGTGGCGACGTTGTCGGAGCTGCTCGATGTTGGAGGTCATCCAGATCGAGAGTACTGGTCTCCAGGTAGCTATCCATGGGTGACTCCATACTAGAAGTTTCGCAGCTGTTTGGAGGTGACATGAATTCCAAAGGTCTTCTCCAGTCAGGCTGCGACTGGAGATGACTTCATATTTTGGTGTACATGAAGGTGATGGGCGAGAGCCAGCTCCTGCTTATCGAGGAACATCTTGGGTATCTTCCGCCCTGGTACTCGTATCCACGTCCTCTGTCTGGGCTGCGAAAACTTTGCTGATATGTGACTCGGTCAAAGTGACTTTTTTGGCCCCCCCTGTAAACAAGCGCTACTCTCTGCCTATTTTCCGAAATCCGACAATCAGACGAATTCCTTATGGAACAGATGGAGCCTAGAGAGTTGCTGGTCGTGGTCGGTGGATAGATCAACCGAGGGGCGAATTATCACAAGTCCTAGGTTTGAGCATGACACTGCGTTCAACACCGAGAAATCGACTAAGAATTCACTTCCTTGCGACCACCAGAGAAGTGTCCTGCAGTATACAGGGGGGGGGGCAAAAAAAGTCACTTTCTTCATTGACTTTCGAGGCGCTATAAGTTACACTTTATTAAATTCTGATCGGACATTTCACCACCATATTAAAGAGCATATTAAATACTATCATGACACTCCGCCACAGCCTTCTGGACGAGCGCCATCGAGAGATTCTGGCACGCGACCGCGATGTGGTCCCTGAGATCAGCGAGATAGTCGATTTCTCCGCCACCGTAGACCACCCTATTGAACTCCGCCCGAACCGGGTAATTGAGGGGATTCAGGTCAGGTGACCTACTTGGATATTCCATCTTCTTTAGGTACTCAGCCCCTTCCATTCCAAGTAGGCGAGAGTTTCTCCAATGCCCTTCGATTCCATGTGGTGGTACCCAATGCTGT